GAATAGATAGTACTAGTGATAGTGGAAGTTCTAAGGAATAATATAGTATACTGCGATAGTTTATTAATTGTGATAAAAGCGCGTGATATCGCCTTGACGTTGACGCGCTGGTGGGGCGCGACCGATTCGCTTGGGCAACCGATTCGCTTGTGAACCACGTTATCCGTTTCATATTATCCGAATTAGTTGAATCGGTAAATATGACCTATCGATATCCAGTAGGGAACCGGAGATATTGATAAAAAGCGCACGTTATCACAATAACATGCCGCTCTAGGATTTATTTTCTATTACGATAGTCGGCTCTGCGTCGATGTGATTACCTCAAGATTCCCGACATACTTGTGTGTATGATGCGCCTTTTTCTTTCATTCCAGGTCTTTAGTCGTACTCTCACTGTTACTAAAATGGGTTTTTAGTAACGTTACTCGATGCTCGACTCTGGCTCCGATAAATGAAGAATCTGACAGCCTGATTGCTTAAGCTGTGGGTTCTGAGGATGAAAAACTAGACCCGATGCAGTTTCATTACCCCAAGAAGCCGCGCTGGTACAGTACAATACATACCAAACTGCCAACAATATTCATTATTGCCGATATTGGGGTCTCTACCTCTCTCGTGCTTGGTGCCATTCTATTGGTCGAGCATTGGAATGTTCCCAAAGGCCAGACATCACATGCATTCGACTGTGCACCGATGAATACGATGCCTGAAATTGCAAAGGCCCAGGGTTGCAAATGGGATCCTCTGGTAAACGCCTGGCTTTCAAAAGAGGCTTTTGAAGAAAGCGAAAATCTCTCTACCGTTGAAGCGTTCTTAAGCCAAGGTCTATGGCGTCACTACTTGCACCAAAATGGTTCTGGCATCGTTAAGCCAGAGTATGAGAGGTTACTCGGAGCTTGGTTGACGAAGAGAGAACATGTCATTCATTGCCAACTTACACTGCGAAAATCCTAGTTTTGGATGAGCAAGGGCTATGGAACACCTCATTCCTTAAAGCATACAGTTCATTGTTCGAGATTTCTACTAGGTACGATCTTTGAAAACCCACCGAAAGATCTCGATGACATCCAAGCTTTTATCACTCCATTTCCCTGACTGGAAGGGAACATGTTCTTAGACCATGGGGAGAAGAGGGCCGCAAGAAGTTCAAGTAGAGCAAGTAAAATGTATCCATTCTAAATGTCGCAGCAGAAGTGCTGTTGTGCTCGCACTTTGCTACATCATAAGTTAGAGATATAGCCAGTCACTTGCTGAAACATCCAATTAAACACCTCTGTTGCTGGACTAACGGATGGGGGAACGAGTTGTACTATTTTGAGTTTCTATTAAGGAGACTATTGTATGATACAAGACGAAAACGCACTAGTTATATGTGTCGTACAGAGTACTGTTCTCCGCCACTTGGCCGCTGGCTTTTGTCAAGCCCATCAAAATCACTACTCCACCCCAATGTCGCAACAGCAACAGTACCTAGTCATATATGGGTATACAATTGGAAGGAATCGGCGTATTTTACAAGAGCTTAGTCTTGCGCTTATTACCGTAATCCCACCTTGCGCAAGCATGTGCTGAGGAGCCGATAACTGAACTTTGCGACGCAGTGAGACGCAACTAGCGCCCGGGCTGGAGCAGAGAAATCATAGGGTCAAAACACAATCAGTAAATATCATAATTCTTGATTCTCAATGATAGTTGTCGTGATGTCGTGGCAAGATTGCCCACTCGCTTAGGAAGTTAGCTGAAGATGGGAGCACAATGCAATTCTTTTTGGAAACGGAATCGTGCAGCAAATATCGGAAGCTGGTACACATACAACGATGATCAGCTATTACACAATAGACTGTTTCCATTTGGCCTGAATATATCTTTAATTCCCGAGTTTTTCTAGTCGGAACTCGGTGATTTCATCGGCTACCATGTAATCACCGCTATTACCCTTGCTTTCATAAACGTATGGCTGGGAAAACTCTGCCCCTTACCGAAAATCATTCCTTCAACACATCTTTATCATGATCGGCTTTGATGAGTCTTTTCTTCCTGATCTCTCTGCGCAGTACTTCAATATTAATATATCCACTATGTCTAACAAGGTGATCTTTAGTAGTAAATTAATAAATTCTCTAATCTCATCTTTCAACGCTAATTCTCTAATTCTAGTATCTTTAGTTTATGTGCTAGATTCTATTAAGAAGCTATCTAAAGAGCGTTGAGTCTATTATATTCTTTTAGTCGTACTAACCTTGGCCAATACTTTCAACAGCGACGTCCGTATAGTAAGCTGAGATGCTCAAACTGTCGCTATCGCTGTCTGCTAAACTTAATAAGCTCTTAGCGAATAGTTATGACAACTGTGTTAGATGTCACTTAATACGGCAGAGCCCAGATAATATCGTAACGCTAAATAAACCTTTCAATCCACGAATCAGCTGCTGAGATGCTTTTCCGCCAGCTTCCTAGCTCTCTCTCTACCCTGGCCGCTGCGACCGGCCCAGAGATGATGTGCGGTTTCTTATAACGATTTCGATCATTGATTGCGTATGAGTAAACTTTCTTTCTCACTGGGCGTATGAGTAAATCATGCATCCGAGCCAATGCCTCAGTATAAAGGCTGTCAGATGTTCACCACCTTTTTTATCATCTACCTCCTCACCAATAGTTTTTCCGAGGTCACTATAACAAAGTAAATTGATCAATTCATCAACAAGCTCGGTAAAATGAAGTCCTTCATCCTCTCTGTCCTCATGGTTGCTATCGTCGCTGCTGCCCCTCATCCCGTACAGGACCTTGGTCAAGTCGAAGCTCGAGCCTTATTGCAGGGACGTCAGAATTGTGAAACTACGACGTGCCCACCTGGTGAATCATGCGAATTCCCAAATGGCAATACCTACTACTGCTGTTCTAGGAAACTGTAAGTTGTTTACAAGCTCAGAATAAAGTTCGACCGGTGCTTAGGCTAATCTTGGAGCAGTTAGTACCTGATGACGATAGCGGACAATGGATAGGGCGTATAGATATGTAGTTTAGGTGGGAAGAGGATAGCTAGGTTAAATCATACAATCTGGCAACACTTCTATACAGTTCATTACTCTTAATAGATATAGGAATATGCTAACTTGGTAGTGCGAAAGTATCCAATTGTTGCTGTATATAGATGAGTCTAGCATCTGTTGCCCTTCAGCGACACCATTTCCATTCAAGACCTGGCCAGATTCTGCCGAAGGCCAGGCACACTGACCTCCGTAGCCACCCCATCTTCACCAAGAGTAATCACAATCTCATCTACCAATAGACCACCATGTAGCCATGCCCCATAACTGAACCAAGTATAGCAAGCATCCTCAAAGATACCCGTACCGTTCATATCGGAAATGCCCCGGAAGGCCACCCGCCAACGGTTATCCGCGCCGATGGGATAGATTCTAACGTCTGCATCAACCGCATCTAGGGCATCAGAACCAAAGAACTCGACCCACGCATCCGAAACAGCTTTGCCACCAGTAGTCCAACTCTGCACCTTGAGACCCGGACCATCATCGACCACCAGTTCGATCGCCGATTCGCCACTACCATAGCGACCCGCATAGTTTTCCCTGGCCTGATCTCGTCTCACGGTGTCAAAATGCGGGACAGAGTAGCGCACAAGATGGTCGAGCAGGGCTCGCAGCGCCGGATCGTCGCCGACACCAGCCACATTGACGGTGTAGCCGAGCTGGTACTCCGGGATGATGGCTACGTAGGCGTTATAGTATCCCGATCCGCCGGGCATGGTGTATATATCGACGGGTCTTTCTCCTGAGTCAAGGCCAAGGCTTGTGGGACGTAAGACGGTCCAGGGCATGCCGACGGCTACGCCTTTAGAAGAGGAGGTGAAGGAGGCGGGCTTCAGCCATTTGGCCATGTCGGTGCTCGAGAGTAGCTCGTTGTTGAGGAGGCCGCGAACAAAGCGGGCGAGGTCGTTGGGCGTTGAGAACATGCCGGCAGTCCTGTGGGCATAGCCGAATTAGTGCGGATGCTCGAGCCTAATCAGGAGTAGAAAACAATAAAGTGTGACTAGACTGCCAGGATCTGAGTTGACTCACCCTTTCATTTCGCCTATGTCCTGAGTACCGAGGTGATTGACCTCTCCAGGTATGACCATCAGCGATGCATCCTGACTGTCCAGGCCAGTCGCCGAGCTCAAACCTAAGGGGCCCGCGATGCTGTCTGCGATAACGTCTCGAAGCGATTTACCTGTGAAGGACTCGATAGCGTAGCCAAGAATGATGAAGGCATAGTTTGAGTATGCGGGAGTACGACCGACAGGCCACAAATAGTTACTGACGAGTGCTCCTTCGAGAAATTCTAGGATCGAGTTCAGTATGGAGCGTAAACAGTAGCATGCTCTCAAGGAATGCTTACCCGCTCGAGTAGCGCATAGGCCAAGTTCTACGGAATTGCAAGTAGGGAAGCCTTCCGGGACAGTAATGTTTACCGGCAAGCCGAATTTTCCCTCTAGAAAATCAGGAGGCCCCCGAAGAGAGGTGTCGAAGGCGTAGCCTAAGTGCGAAGAGTCAGCTGTGGTCTTCTTGGATCATTGTCCTCCAGATATAGCCTTACCATCGCGCGGAGCGCCAGACAGATGACTGGCTAGCATTCGCAAGGTCGTGTTCTCGAAGTTCTTCGAGCCTTCAAGCTGCGGTAAGTACTTGGAAACAAGATCATCCATGTCCAATCCTTCCTGGAGCAACGCAGAAAGGACAATAAACAATTTCGTCACTGAGAAGATGCGGTGGATTGTGTCGCCATTGACCTCGCTGACGCCAACTGTGGTGTTGACGTTTGGTGCAGTCCAGTGGTACTCAAAAACCGTATCTTCAGTCGTGGTTATCGAGACCGAGTAAGAGGTAGAAGACGTGTTGAAGAGAATCGCTTCACTGTTCAGTCGGTCCAGTGCAGCCTTCAGTGGCTCAGGATCGAACCGGGGGGCGATGGAAAGGTCGGCGAGTGGTAGGAGTGGGATGCCTGCTGGAGGACAATACTCCGTGGCTGCGGCAAGACTCGTGCACATGAGTGCTGTTGTTGATAGCAGAGACTGTTTCATGTCGCAATAGAATGCAGTGAACAAGATGGAGACTCTTTCGATGTGAGAAATTTATGAAATTGGTAGTGGAAGATGATGAGGGTTTGGTAGCTACTATAACAGAGCATGAGTTGAGCTTATATACTATGCTCCTACTGCGACCAGGCAGAATCATTCGAGTACATGGCTAAATGAAATCTCAGCCACGATCATAGATGCTCGTCTTACCAATGTCGACACTTGAGCTGTACCTTACGATCTCGTTGTTCCGTGCCTTGGCTACCTAGTAGCTGACAAAAGGGTTCCAAGGTCGCGGTTACTTCCCATAGCAGCATGCTGGTTCTAACATTACGCACGCAGGTGCATAGCCAAGAGATCCTTATGGAGAGGTGATTCAGCTTACCAAAGTCCTCGACGCGGATTCCATCATTTGTCATGGCGGAATGGTATACAACAGTGGTGCCAAGACCGCTGCGCAGTGCCCGTCTCGCCCAGATGGTATAGTATAGTCTGCTTGCTAAGCCTCCGGGTATCGAGGCCCACTATGCCAGTGCTGTGATTTCAAGCCAATGAAATGTCCATGGCCGATCTTATGCTCGCTGAGAGGCAGCACATTTCCAACGACCTGGAGGCCTGAGCTAACCAAGTATGCTCGATTTTGCGATACGTACAGAGCCAAGCCACTGCCTGCATGGGACGATGACGAAGGTGTTGTGCTCTAGCCCTAATCGCAACATCTACCGAAACGAGCAAAGCGAAAGCGCGTGCCCCACCAGATCTATACGGCGCAGCTATCGTCCTGGTGTGCGAGATGTGAACACTCCAGATCACGTTCCATAAAGTATCAGAAACAATCGATCAAGGCCTGCAGATACTGCCCTCCGGCTGATGTGGCCGACAGCCAGCGCCTCAACGAGACGAGACGATGGTGAACCGCGGACCTAGCGCTGGCTGCCAAGCATGCAGAGAGCGCCGCGTTGGGTGCGACAAGGCAAGACCGGCGTGCAGAAAGTGCATTATCCGTGGACATATATGTCCTGGATACCGCGACGCCAACGGTGTTGTCTTCAAGGACGAAAGCAAGGCTGTTTTCGCGCGCCAGAGCAAGCGATCAAGCGCAAGACCATCTACACTGCCGCCGCAAGTTCACTCCAATCCGCACGACGTGGTAACAGCGTTCTTCTTCCGACAATGTTTACTTCCAACCCGCCATGAGTGGCCGCTGGGCAACGAATACTTCGACCATATCTTGCCTCTATACAACTCTGCGGCACCTTCATCTGCTTTGCCTCTAGCCGTTTCGGTCATGGCGCTCACAGTAGCCACCACCCACCATGCCCAAGACTATGTACAGCCTTTGGTCACTGGAGCTGAGCTCGCTGCTGTTCGAGCAGTTGGCACAGCCTTGTCAGATCCGCTTCAACGTTTGAAGGACGAGACGCTCACGGCAATCCTATGCCTGGACTTTGCCCAACAATATCGAAATGCTGCACTCCAGCATGGTCGCCCTCACCTAAGAGGCGCTCTCGAACTCATCCGACAGCGGGCATCTACAGACTTTGACTCGGAAGTCTCGCAATCGCTATACGTAGCAACAAGAGGCCATGTCTTGCTGATTGCGCTATGGTCAGCACACAAGGACCAAGATTTGATTTTTACGTTGCCCGAAGTGGCATCGGCACGCAAGAGTACTGTATCCACTATACAGCAGATCTTGCGGCAGGTTCTGTGCTTAGAAAGACAGGTCCTCACCTGGCAGCCACCGGACGCAAGTTCGCCATTAGAAGAGGACCGCGTGTGCTCTTACGCTGCTCGGGCCAAAGCTTTGTGCAACCGCCTCGAAGACCTCAGGCACGAAGTATCCTGGGAGCTTTCATCGCCCGTTGTTCCCTTACCTTACGGGAGCTTCGAAAGGTTGAGTGATGTATCATTAGTACAGAAGGCTTTCGTCTTTGGCCAATACATCTGCACATATGTGCTAGTCCTGAAGCTTCTATACTGTACGAGCTCGTTCCTACACAATAACGACATACAATCAAATATCGCTAATCATCTTGCGATGCTCGACCAAGCACAAAGCCTGGTGTCTTCCCTCTGCGTGTCGGTCGTCCCAATCTTAGACCGCAGCCGCTTTTTGCGACCGGGCGAGGGAACTATCAATCGCACAATCGTCACGGAGACTAGACCAGAGCTATCGAATGGTCTGCAAGACGAAGGGCTGGCTTCCACTAGTCGTTCTCACCTAGTATGTCTCACTACATGGATTTTAGGAATCCTTAGGAAAGCGTTTCTCGGAACCAAGGATTTTAGAGTCGAATCTGATAAAGTAGAGTATCTACGAAATATACATAATTCTCTATACTAATTGACATGTAACGTAGGTTATAAGCGTGTTGGTCATACAAGCGGATTCGTCACCCCATGAATTTTACGCACCTTAATAAGTGTATTGCTTAACTATATGATAATTACATAGCTATCAATCAATATGGTTAATTCAGTAGTATTTAGAGTATCTTTTTCATGTACAGTATATTATACAACTATAATAGCCTAGCGATAATTCATACCTTCTAACGTAGACATCCCTGGGTTTCTAGCCTTCTTATCTCTTATTAAGAAGAGAATCCTTCTTGTTACTCGTAACAAGGAATATACGTGTTCAAGACTTGAGAGCAGAGCTATATTATATATAATATTCTGTGAATATATCCGCCAAGTGGTTTTCTATTAGAGTTGCCAATCTTTTTGAAGCTTCGTGATAGTAGCGGAATCGTCCTCTGACATCTCATATGAGCCTTTGACAGTAACTCCCTCATGGCCAGCCTGACAACCCATAAGTGGCAACGCCCCTGCTACTAGGAGACCACGACACGTAAGACAAAGCTTTGTTGACACGCAGTCACGACAAATCCAGTACTCTGAGTCCGGCAGCAGTGAGCAATGAGTACTCGAGACCTTGCCTGCAGTGAGCGATTTAGACTCGCAATGGCGTCCGTCGCATGCCATCGAAGCATATGACGGGAGGTAGTTATCGACTGGCAATTCGTTTCGAGCAAAATACTCGCCTCTTTCAATCAATTTCAACTGACTGTAAGTCGTTTCGTCGAGAAGAGGGTCTTCGACGCGTTTTGCGTTCCTTTCTGCATACACGTCATAATTCTCAGAGATCATCCGTTTACCGCACTTGTACATGCCGACTTTTGTCCACACCCGTGCGGCGACATCTTGACCAAGCACTGTCAAAATCGATGCCAAATAAAACCATCCAGTATTTGACAACGACTTGTCGTGGCTTTGATAGATCATAGCAAAGGCACGGGTCGCATGTTCTTGAAGAACTTTGTGCGCTTTGTGATTGTTTCCTTGCGCCATATGTATCCTCGCAAGACAGAGACTAGTTCGGAATTGGAGCTTGAAAAAAGAGGGTCCTGAGAAGTTTTAGCTATCTCAACCAACTCGATGACCTTGGCCACGATGTCAATGCTATTCGGGTGCCCCGGACTTTCCAGAACCTTTCGGATATACGCAGAGCATAGATGCGTCACAATTGGCAACATGAGCGCAATCTCTGTGGTAGCAGGGCTATGTAGCAGGTCTTGAATGATGTTTTCCCAGACATCGATTGCCTTATCGAGCTGGGAATGTGTTGATTGCAGGAAGTTCAGCCGGCCAAGCCAGAACCCAAGCTTGAGTTTCGTGAGAGTTTTCTGTTGCTCTGAAAGTACGTCTGTATCAGCGCAGAGGGCTAGTGAATCCTGATACACCTCACATAAGGTGGACAGCCGAACACCGTTCGCATCGTTGGCGATAGTATTGCTTAATGCAATATGCATGAAGCTGTTGCACGTCTTGTCTGCATGGTAGACGAATGTTTCGGGAAGGAGGTCCCGGTGTAAATCGTAGAAGGACATGAAGAATTCGAAACCACTGTCGATGTCCATTAGACGAACAGCAAATTCCAAGGTCTCGCAAACCATGTGTTGAGACAATAAATGACCATTTTTGCGCGTGTCCATGGTTATCGCCGACTTTCTGAAGAGCATCTGTTTGGGTACGTCGTACCAATGAACTTGCCAACTGAGCATGTCGTCAATCGCCCTCATCACTGACTCACGATCAGCGTTGTATTCAATCATGAGTTTCAGAGATTTATTGCAAAAGCTGTACGCTTTACCAAGTCGTTGGCGCTCATCCGGTTTCCACCAAGCCATCAAGGACGTTGCTTCAGCCATCAACACTGCAGCCCGCCAATCAGTCTTAGTGTGAGGAGAGAGTAACTTAGCAGCTGCACATGTCCTGTCGCCAAATGCACCTAATGTTGCGGCGGCATGAATGTCGAGACTGGCTTGGTCGGTGATTTGAACGTTCCCAGCCTTAACCCATCTCAAAATTTTGAGCCAATTGGGTGGCGTAAACCAGTCTGTGCATTTCGTTGCGTCGTAGCCTTCGAGGTCCTCCCGCCGAGCGCTACACTCCAGTCCCAGCTCAGGTATATGCCTGAACCAACGAAACATATGCTGAAAGTCTTCTCTTGCCCAGAACGATTTGCTTTGTAACCATCGGCTCGCTATCATCTGACTTACGACCCTTTTCAAGTCATCGGCACATCGAATATCTGGCCAATTTGAATCCAAAGCATCTGCTGACTCCCTGTGTTAAAACAGCCAAACCTTCATACACTTGAACACTGCCTCAAAATATCCCTTGTCTGCGCCCCAGGTGTCATTTGTCTGCTTTTGTGCCTCGACAGGCAGGAAGATGTTCAACATGTCGTGTTTGAGAAAAAGTGTTGCGAGGCTCATGCCTAGATTTACTGCCACATCGTCATTCAGCTTGACTGTTCGAAGCTGAAAGAGGATCTTTGGCAGCAGATCACGAGCTAATGCAGACAAAGTGGCTGTCTGTTCGGTTCGGTGACCGTTGGCATTCTTCATCAAGTTTCCTAAACTCTCAATCATGCGCACCGCTGTGTTTGTCATCGCGGTGTCCCAATCAACAATGAATTGCGAAAGTACCAAATTCTGTTTTTTCTTGGACTCGAAGAACTCTTTATTGAATCCATGTGCATTCAGAGCATCCGAACTGAAAGTTTCAGTCAAAACCAGTTGCATTGCTTGCAGTTGAGCGAGGCTGCCATTTGGTAAGAGGGCATGCGCGACTAAAGAATTGCGAGGATCGACCAGCAGGTACTTATCAATCTCGATTGCGGCAAAATCGAGATGGTTGTGATGATCTATCGTCAGCAGGCAAGAGTAAGCCGATTCGATGGTCGATTCTACCATAGTGGGAGAGCCCTCATCTCGTGCGACAAAATCTTGAACGATCGCTAAGCGCGGCATCGGCATTTCCAGATGGCGCAAGACCGCTAGCAAATGAATGGTTTCTTTCAGCTGCAGCAAATCGTGCGTTGGTAGTCGCTTCGCAAGATGGGATAGATCGTGCAAAACAACACCTTGGTGAGACTGATAGTTTCTATTCATGACTCGCTCAACTTCGGACCGTGATGATGCACGGCGCATGTTTGAGATATACCAGGACAGCATATAGTAATCGCCTAGAACCTTCTTGACGAGTCGCTCGCTGACGTCCGCTTTGTAGTCGTCGTTCTCAAGTGCTTGTGTGAACAGAGCGCATCTCGAAAGAGAGTCCTTCGCGACTAGTGCAATGTCCTCTGAATTGAGATACCCTTTATCGAGAGATAGTCTGGAAGTTGCGATGGAAGCGTGCTCAGTGACGGTGCTTAACCAGATGCTGTTACCTGTGAGTAGGAAGCGCATTCCTGAGCTTGCCGGGCCAGAGTGTCGCAATACATCGCGCAAACTCTCATATTCCTTCTCGTCCAAGAGGTCTAAGCCGTCAAGAACGATATAGCAAGTCAATTCCGGCATCTTCCGCATTACCTCCTGAACAATTTTGCCCCACAAATCTTCGCCCTTAATGTTCTCTTCCGGAACCTCCAATATTGGTTGGGCAAGCTTGAAGAATTGGACGTTCTGGACACAGAGCTGGAACAAGACTGCCCGTACGACGTTTCCGATAGTTGATAGGGCGACTGTACGGTCGAACAGATAGTAAGCTACAGCTGTGGACGTTTGGTCGTTTCTATGACGTCTCTGGAGGTGGTCGATTGCAGCGATAGCAAGATACGTCTTGCCAGTACTGGAAGCAGCCTCAAGCGCAAGGACTTGCAATTCGTTTCCAGGGAGAACCCAAGCCTTGAAAAGACGATGCCGCACCAGCCACTCTCTTGTATTGCGCACACGGTGGTCAGCGCATGCGCGATGGCGAGAAGTCCAGGGCTCGCTGTCGATGTGGAGCCACTCCTTCAGCTTTCCAATCTTGCTTGGTTCCAACATGGTATGCATGACAGTGTCGACGTTTTCGTGAACCGTGAGGACGTTTTTGTGGATTTGGAGGACTGTTGACAGTACCAACGCAGTGGACAGTCTACTTTCTTTTTCTAAAAGGTCTCGTAACAGTGTCAGATGCGCTCCCACTCCCTGGTCATTTCCTCCCATTGCGTCAAAAAACATCTTTGTAACTTCGCCAACATTGTTGAAGCCTTTCGACTTCCCCGCGTCCAGGAATATTTTGACGTACAGAGCGACGCAGTCTACAACGTGCTTAAGGATAACGTTCAGGAATTTAACCTATCACGCAATCAGTCCAGATATTTACTTGAATTGACTGCCTCGTATAGGAAAGATACGGCTGTTTTGTTCACTTACGAATTTAGGATGCACTGCTGCACCAGCCTTCTGAGCTTCCATAACCATGTCAAACCTCATAGAGAAGAACCCGACCTCTTGAAACATATCTGCCGCGCCGTCGAATATCTGGCGGTATTTCTCAGTGGTTTCGATGAGTAGCTCAATGCATTGCACCACCAGTGTAACGCCAGCCCCCGCAAAGGGAATACTCGAGGCCATGGCCTCGAGGAACGCGTGGAGTTTCCAGATCACACGAAGCACCCCTTGAGTATCTTTTTGGGTTTTGTCAATATGCTCTTGGATTCTTCCTTTGTACGGGTATTATGGTGCCCTTCTAGATCGGCGACAGCATCTTTATCTGATCCACCCCCAAGAATTTGGTTCACCGCGGCGCTGACATGAGCTTGGAACCCGTTTTCGGCCTTCTCCTGGCCATTCCTGTCTTTGAGGCTGATGCCTGTCTTGTCGAAGAAATCTTTCTAGGCGGACACGTTAACGGATGCTTGATCGATTGTCATTGCTCGGCAGTACTACCCCGGCTTGGTCCCACAACTTCTGGAGATCTGTATCATCCATGTCATCGAGGGCAACTTGATTGCTTGAGACTTCCTTTTCTAGAAGCTCCCTCGATTTGTTAGCTTGCATGTTTTCTGTTGTTAACTGACTATCGATGTTAAGCAGAGACTGGTAGTTTCTACAGATAAGCTGGAGGCATACGCAGCTATGAAGTGCGGCAGCCGCACACAAGCGGGGTTAGTTATGTTGATCTGAGGCACTCGCGACACGTCCATCCAAATCTGTCGTTCCAGTACACGCAACACCGATTAGCGCAATGCGGCTGGATGTCTAGAACCAAAGGCGGAGAGGACTTGACCTTATTGCGCATTGATCGACCTCGCAATGTCCGCTGAGATCGAGCTAATGTTAAGGCGCAAGCTGAACAATCGATACCTGCAGCCAGTAGCTGAGAGACCGATACTTTCATCCTGGTAGAGAAATGTGACGAGAGCGAGGACCACAGCCAGCCATCGTAGTGATTGGTGGATATGGAAGGAAAATCCAATGTTTTTGTTCGTAGGCGTGAGCGCGCCGTGCGGCTGAACTCAGCTACGACAGAAACCTGATTATATGACGATATATTGCGTAAAGATACGCAACCAGACTACACAAAATTGTGTGGGAGCCGTCTGGTACTGTCACCGTAAGAATGCTTATTTGCTTGTTCTGTGCCAAATTTGAGACTGTTGCATGTGCAGGCAGCATTCCAAGTTTGATCGAAAATTGACTAATCACATCGCATGTTTTGCAACGAACATCTATCACTAAGCCATGCACGAAAGGTTGGGTTGTTCAAGGTCGTTACACACCTGCGTGTAGGAGGTGGCAAAAGCACACGACCTAGTCCTCCTTCATATCGCGACCCATCTCATCAGGATTATAGCCATGAAAAAAAAGCAACGTCGTAGCCCAAAGCAAAAGCAACTTGCCAAGTCAGCCAAGCCTCTCATGCTTCTGTTGTGCTAACCATGCAGGTACATATCAATGTTCTATGTATATCGCTGTAGCTTACCCCTGGCCGACTAGCGTCTTGAGCGAAGCCCATCAAACTTGGCTCATGATCCGGCTACTGTGCTCAGCAGCATTACTCTGGCTGCCTCAAGCAAATTCTTGTTGTCATCCCTTTGTGGTACTAACTACGCAACTGAATGAAAGCTAAAGCCTCCACTCGACAGCAGACAGTAATTCACAACGCCAGGTCAGCTTCACGGGACTGGAGATGATGGACAGCAATCAAATGTTGGTCAGCTTCATTTTGACTACCTCATTTCGACTACCGACTTTTGCGTGACACTAGGGCGTCATGGCCGCAATCTGAAGTGACAGATATGTGTTGGCATTAGTCTGGAGGTCGGTAAGTGTGTTGGTCATGGCCGTGATAACGGTGGGGGAGTGTGTAAGTGCGGCCACAGGACTGGCCCAGTAGAGGAGCTCCTCGCTAACGTACGTCCCGAACGTGTCGCGGATCTTGTCCACCTGCCAGGCGAGGTAGTCGGGCATGATCTGTTCCCAGGCGTCCTGGAAGTCGTAGGTGATGCCTTGGGTCGCGGCGTAGCGGGTGAGGTCGCCGAACAGGGTGGCAATGTTGGTGTAGGTCGACGAGAAGGCAGCCACGACAAGGTTCTCGCCCCGGTAGTTGTGCATGTCGACGATGTCGAGCAGGATGCCGACGCGGTCCTGGGCGTTGTAGCCGTTCCAGTTGGACCGCGACACAAAGTCCAGCCCCGCGACCATGTACTCCTTGTACACGTTGAAGTCGCGGTCGCAGACCTGCAGATTCTCGATGAAGCGGTTCGACAGGCCCGCATCGGCGGTGCGGCCCAGCAGGCCGGTGAAGAAGTCGTTGATGTTGCCGACCCAATTGTGCGTGAACTGCAGGCTCGTGTAGGTGGCGCTCGGCCAGTTCTGCTGGAAGATGCCGTTGGCGCCGAAGACCTGGGCGAACGGCACGGTGCCAGCCCGGAGCGCGGTGCCCGCAGGCGTCTTGCCGGCCGCCATGTACTCGAGCGCGTTGCGGAACTCCTGCTTCTCCAGCACGTGCTCCGTCACCCAGTCCGTCGAGGGCGCCAGCGTGCTCAGACCCGTCAAGCCCACAGCCGCACAAAGGCCCTGCTGCGCCACCGTCCACGCCTTGCCTGTCGTCCGGATGATGCTCGACGCGCCCGGGTGCGACTGCACCCAGATGCTCGACTTCTGGCCCTGAGGACCGCACAGCGCCATGGCGACTCGTTCCCGAGCGCCACGTTTGGCCAGATCACGGGTGCCGAGGAGCTCGGATGTCTCCATGTAGGCCAGCTCTTCGCCCGTTGCCCTCCTCGCCAGGAATGCTATGGATGAGTTTGAAGAATCGACGCCCTGGTCTCTCCCTCGGAGGAGGCGCGTGGTATCTGCGGTCCCGCATTCTCCGTCGAATCTGTGCTCCTCCTCGAAAACGTTGGGAAGGTTGCTTTCTTCCTCTGGGCCGCTCTCGAGCTGCTCGAGGTGGCTGGGTCCGTAGCAGAGCTTAACATCAGGCACTTCGGGCACGGCTGGCTTGTTTGGATCAGAACAGCAGAAGTAGGAGTAGGTGCCCGACCGGCAGCCCCAGCCATCCGTGGCTACGGTCGTCTCCCCGGGCTCGCAGCCCGTCTTGCATTCCGTCGAGAAGTCAAAGAAGAGGTTTCCAATGGGCCCGACGAGCAGTTTTTCCCACTGCACCCATGTGGTGCTTCCAGCCCGCCTAGCACGGACATGTTGAGTCAGTATGTGGTGACGGTGGTTTGATTTTGGGAAAACTTACCATTTGCAACCCGTCCATGGGACTGGGTCTTTGCAGCACAAACTCTTGAACCCTCCGTTGTAGGAGCAGCTTTGCTGGCCTCCTTGGCCCTGCTTTGCCTTTGTGAGTTCCTTGGGCCTGCTGCTGTCGTCGCCGCAGCCGTACGACTGGAAGGAGAAGGCGCCTCCGAGCGGACCGAACAGCGAGGGGACAAAGGACTTGAGGGTGCAGATGGGGGCGGCGCCGAACCACTTGCAGGCATCGAGCACGTCGGTCGAGGCCTTCTTGGTGCAGCAGAGCGACTTGTGGCCAGTCCAGCAGCCGTCGGTGCTGGCCGAGACCTCGATCTCGTCGTCGCTGCACTGGTTGCTGGGGAGCATGCCGCAGAACTTGGGGCTGCCCTTCCATTTGCACGTGGGCGGGTCCTTGGACGGGCAGCAGAAGTTGCGCTTGCCCTCGGTGCAGCCGAGCTCGATGCCGAGCGGGTTCTTGTTGCCCGACGACTCGGAGACCGGGACCAGGCCCGAGGGGCAGTTGGCCCCGCATTCGCCCCACACGCACTGGCTCGGGTCGTTCTTGGCCGTCGCCGCCAGTGCCGACACGGACAGATCCGTCTTGCCTGCCGCCTTGGCTAGCGCCCGGATCGCCGTGCCCTGATTGTCGTCCGTCGACGCGGCCCACACCATGACGCCCCCCAGGCACAGCTCGTTGGCAAAGTCCATCTTGGCCTGCAGCGTCTCCTCGTCGTCGTACGAGACCCACTGGTTCGTGTCCCATGTCACCATCTTCACCCCGGCCTCCTTGTCGTGCACCACGTCCGCCCCCGCATCCACAATCTCCTTGATCTCCGAGAACATCAGGCTGCCCGCCGACGCCGAGCACTTGCCTGGGTTGCCGCCCGCCGAGAAGCCGCAGCCGGGCGTCTTGCACGACGGGTCCGACAGGGTGAAGCTGCGCCCGTAGAAGCCCATGCCCATGACCACCTTCTTGGGGTCGATGTCGTTGCGCCACAGGAGGTCCATGGCCAGGTCCACCTCGGTCAGGTTGGTGTGCGAGTTGATGTACGGCCCCAAGTACGGGTTCGTCCCGTCCCACGTCCCGTGCAGGTCGTAGCTCATGATGTTGAACCAGTCCAAGATAGGCTCCATATTCTTGATGTCGAAGTGCTGCAGGTACCAAAACGAGGCCGGCAGCGTGATGGTGAGACCCCGGTTTCCTAGCACGCCGCGGAGGTTCTTGAGGAAAGTCACATAGTTGTCAAAGTCTTCCGGCTTTCCTGAACGCTCTTCAGCCACACTAGCAAGGCGTATACGAATTAGCATCAACACTGAAACACGACGCAACACGACCAAAGCTTGGCTCATAACTCACGGGTATTCCCAGTCGATGTCGACTCCGTCGAATCCGTACTTGTCCATGAAGGACAAAAGGGACTCAAAGAAAGCGTCCTGGTGCGACTTCGATGCCGCCAGCTCGGAGAAAGTCCGCGCTGTGGGCTGATCAGGATCGTTCATGCTCCATCCTCCAATAGCAATCTGTCGAAAGCAGCTGTTAGCCACCAGGGTCCATCGGGTATGCGCTTTGGCTACGGATTCTTACCCAAACTTCTAGCCCGGGGTTGTAGTCCTTCAAGCCCGTGAGACGTGGCATGTATCTCTCATCGGAGTCCTGCATATTGGCGATCTTGTATGTGGTAGGATCAATAAAGGCAAAAGCGTAGTTCAGATGGGTATATGCCCCGGACAACAGGTCCTCCGGGTTAACTGCAGTAAACCAAGAGGTCAGTATTGTACGAAGCCAAACCATCTTCTGCTTCTTCTTGGAGTACGATTCTAGTTAGAATCACCAAGGTCACTTACGTCCTTTGCAGCCCTTGCTGGTTGACCAGCCTTCGTAGTACCCAATCACTTTGCTGGCGGCGCTGGTGCCGCCCTTACAGCTCGGCTTCTTGACCTTCTTGTCGCCGCAGAAGTCCTCGGTCGTCCCACAGAACCCAAACTCAGAACAGCACACATTGAGCGGGCACTTCTCCCGGGTGCTCCATTGGGAGCCCCATCCCGGGTCGCATTCGCTCTTTGCGTCACAGCCGGACGTGCAGTTCGCAGGGGCGCAGTAGGAAGGGCCCATGCCGCATACCTGTACAAGTGTTTAGTAAGGCTCCCGCGTGGTAAGTGATAAGAGCAGGCAGACGACTTACATTGTTCTTACCGCAGCACCCCAGCTTGCAAGGCCTCTCTGGAGAACATGAATAGTCTTGCTGTCCCTCGACCAAGTAAACCAAGCCGGCCACTACCAGCAGGATGCAGAGGCAGTGATACAGCAGTCTGCT